AGGGGCTCTGTATGAGTCTTCTGATTGAACCATTTAAAAATATTCTGCACTGTCATTGGCTTATATTTTCGACGGATTCGCAGCGTGGGGTATTCGTCAACACGGCATTTGGTGTTTTATACCTCCTGAATGTTTACTATTTCGAACGTATGGCATGTGAGAAATTTTACTATTATATTTTTACGAGCGATCTCTGCCAGCGATATCTGGAAACATTTTCGACAATATTCAGTTTGCGATTGCGGCAAACAATTTAGAATCTCTACAACGTTTGTATACGGAGCTTGAGAAGAATATCGATGCTTCATGGACAAATTCTGTTGACGAGCTACTGAACGGCAAAGTGAGCGTCATCAACAACACAAGCAGAAGCCTCGCTAGAAATTTTGGCGCAGAGAGCTACATTCCGAGATAAGAAAGACAAAGCTTGCACTGCAATAAGGTAGAGAAATTTATGGTTTTATAATGATATATCTTTAGTTTATATTAATTAAACCGAAGAACCAAAGCCGTCGGTGGTGTTGTTAATGATTGTTTGACATATGATATTTTAATATTCGCTATGCTGTATTAGCATAATTCTCGCGTCAAGAAGCTAAAATATAATAGGTTTTGTTTGTGGAAACACCACGTAAATTTATTACTGCAAAGCTTTCGATCCGTAAGCCCGGATCTTCATCAGTGCTAATAATATGTGACTTGTTTAATTCACACGCTCTTTTTATATACAAAAGTGTCGTGATCTGTTGGCTCGCGTCATTTGAAATTTAATTAAACGGCACATCAACCACGTCATTCCAAACGTAGTGAAGTGATTCCAATTAACGCGCGCATCCAAGACAAGAGAAATTAATTTTGCACATTAAAGAGAGCACGCCACGTACTATCTAGTGGCTTTCCCTCCTGATCTATAGTATTGTGCTTCTCAATTTCAATTGACTCTCTCATTTTGCGAGAGAACTTGTGACTATCAATTGCCAAAATGGTTGCTTCGTCCCATTTTATACGATGGTCGTAAGTCCAAGTATGTTTAGCAACAGCAGATTTATCTTGCTCGGCTTTCTCGCAATTCGTCTTGTGTTCCTTAAGACGTACTGAGAGATTTCGACCAGTTTCACCAATGTAAACCAAACCACATTCACAAGGAATGCGGTACACACCAGGTTTCTGAGATTTATTTACATTGTCCTTATGTGTGTAAAGAGCTCGAAACAATTTGTTTTCGCTGGAATGGTATACCTTTATACCTGCTTCATTCCTCAAAATTCTTTCGATTTTGTGTGAAGCCGGGCCAATGTATGGTAGACAAACAGACGACTGGTACTCAATCTTCTGCTGTATACTTTGTGGCGTTTTCATAGCATTATCTATGAAATGCCGTGGAACATTTCATAGTAGAACATATAGTAGAACATTTCATAGATAATGCTATGAAAACGCCACAAAGTATACAGCAGAAGATTGAGTACCAGTCGTCTGTTTGTCTACCATACATTGGCCCGGCTTCACACAAAATCGAAAGAATTTTGAGGAATGAAGCAGGTATAAAGGTATACCATTCCAGCGAAAACAAATTGTTTCGAGCTCTTTGCACACATAAGGACAATGTAAATGAATCTCAGAAACCTGGTGTGTACCGCATTCCTTGTGAATGTGGTCTGGTTTATATTGGTGAAACTGGTCGAAATCTCTCAGTACGTCTTAAGGAACACAAGACGAATTGCGAGAAAGCCGAGCAAGATAAATCTGCTGTGGCTAAACATACTTGGACTTACGACCATCGTATAAAATGGGACGAAGCAACCATTTTGGCAATTGATAGTCACAAGTTCTCTCGCAAAATGAGAGAGTCAATTGAAATTGAGAAGCACAATACTATAGATCAGGAGGGAAAGCCATTAGATAGTACGTGGCGTGCTCTCTTTAATGTGCAAAATTAATTTCTCTTGTCTTGGATGCGCGCGCGTTAATTGGAATCACTTCACTACGTTTGGAATGACGTGGTTGATGTGCCGTTTAATTAAATTTCAAATGACGCGAGCCAACAGATCACGACACTTTTGTATATAAAAGAGCGTGTGAATTAAACAAGTCACATATTATTAGCACTGATGAAGATCCGGGCTTACGGATCGAAAGCTTTGCAGTAATAAATTTACGTGGTGTTTCCACAAACAAAACCTATTATATTTTATCACCATGCAAACATACAAAGAACTTATTAAGCTAAAATATGTTTTATTCAATGTCCACATTGTAAGCATTTGTTGATTCTCGTGTTTATAGTGAAGTTTTATTTAAGATTTATATATATTTATGCATCGATCACACAACATGTCGGCCTTATAGAATACTGTTTGTCCATAGCCTATCGACACGGCTTGTTAGACCGCATTGGTCTGGTGTAACATGATGATGCGAAATATTTAAGCTAGCTTGAAAAGCTCATTGACTGGTAGCCATTCTCATGTAACTAGTTTATTAATATTTGACATAACATCTTTATATCTTGTTAATGTAATAGTGTTTGACTTAGTTAATGAATATCTGGTTGTTTTTTTGGATCTGAGGCTACTAGCAATTATTTGTATAGTTCTGCGTTTTTGGTAACAGAACAGTATATTTCCTTAATTTAATGCATTTGCTGCCATATGATTTTACAAGTTTTACAATGATACACTTATAGGTATATAGTATCAATATGACGACGATTGATTAATCCACAGGCAAACATGTTATTAAATTCTGCTGAGTTTTAATGTACTATATCATAGTAATATATCCATAAAATTTTGTATTGGAATAGGATCAATATATCTTTGTGCATTTGTAGTTTTTCTTACAATGGATAAGAATCAAATGTTCGTTTGAGTTTATCAATTTAAATTTAATCTAAATACGTTTTTCACGCCCAGGCGAGACCACGCCCAGCGCTGACAACGCCCCGTCCGCCAAAAATTTTTGACTGAGGTACGAAAAATCCTAGATCCGCCCCTGTTTAAATTACCTGACCTACTTTGCCTAATAGTCGAAGTGCTGGACTCACTCGGGTCAATTTTGTCATAGCTTCTGATTCTTTATCTGCAGTGGCGTAGCCAGACTTTCATTTTTTTTTTTTTTGGGGGGGGGGCGAAGCGAACGCCGAAGGCGCGAGACCATGTATGGAGGTCCGGGGGCATGCACCCCCGTGAAAATTTTGAAATTTAGAGTCCCTGAAATGTGATTTCAAGCATTTTGGGGTGAAATCTTGCAGAATTCCGAAGATTATAAAGTACGCTCTAGGGGGGGGGGGGTCGGGGGCATGCACCCCAGGGAAAATTTTAAAATTTAGAGTCCCTGAAATGTGATTTCAAGCATTTTGGGGGTGAAATCTTGCAGAATCCCGAAGATTATAAAGTACGTCGAAGACATAAATTTTCCCAGACATTTTTAAGTTTCTACTCGCTTTTATATATGATACAGAATAAGTCTGAGAAGAATATTCATGTTATCATAATGCATATACATGTAAATTTAAACTAAATCTATTCCTGTTGGAACCATATCTACAACTGTTTTAACGAGATTTTAGAAATCAAGTTCTTCCAGTATTTCGACGTTTTCCTCAGTCGAGACGTAGTTAGTCCGTTTCAGCTTCGAGGATGTAACGTGTACCCCCCCCCCCCATTTCTCTACGGATTTAGCCTTTTTCAGAGAATAGTTTTTTGCGATTGGGGGGCGACCGCCCCCCCTTGCCCCCTTGGCTACGCCCCTGTTTATCTGAGTCATGTTCTGTGGACAGGAGACCGAATCTATTTGGCGTTATTATGTCCGGTTCTTGAGCATTCATATCAGCTGCAGATCGAGCAGTTTTATTTTGGCATGCATAATTAGCAGAAATATTATGTACATTAGTTCCCGCTCTGTGCCCTGGGGTATGCCATGCATGTATTGTGTGGTGCATCTCTGTTATTTAATGATATACTGTAGTTTTGCTGTCTTCTTGCAGCAGCTTAAGGGCAGTGACTAGACTCAATTTCTCATCTTCAATGTTTTTGATTTTCGTATTTAGATCCGATACCATATAAGAACGATTGTTAAACCTTTCTTTCAAGGAGTCGTTTTCGCGTCTAAGTTGCGTGTTTTCATGTCTAAGGGTACCGTTTTCATGTTCTAGGCTTGTTAGACAATATTCAGTTACTTTAGTGCCACCATTGAAACTCAGTTCTTTTAGCTGATCAAGCTGTTCGGTAAAGTTCTCCTTTATTTGTTGAAGCTCTGCTTTCGTTTCGACAATATGTTGGTTTAGTTTCAATTTAATCATGCTTACCTCAGTAGGGAGTTCGTTACAGACTACCTGAGCGGTTGTTTCACATTCGACAGTTGTTATATCGCCACCGTCGTCCTCCGTGTCTTTTTGAGCTAAGGCGATGCTGTTGTGTTCTTTCACACCTTTTTCCTTCAGATTTGAAATTACTTGTTCAGTCAGGTCTTTGCCCTTTTCTCCTTCAAAGGATATATTCATACTTTTGGTTTGCCATGTAACAGCCAGTAACTCACTTTCAAATTTCCACGTTCCGCCGCTAGGAGATCGCCAGTTTGTGTTTTCTGCTGTATCTTCGTCAATCTCCGTTAACACAAATGCTTTCAAGTCTTCTAGCACTCCTAACCATTTCACCTTGTTCTTCGCTAAGCAAAAGTTACGGTACAAAATATTCTTAACAGATGTCATTATTGGAGCGAAAAAGCACACCAATGTAATTTAAGTTTTGTAATGTAAGTTATTTAATGTAAGAACTTTTATTAAAAATACACATTAAAATTATAGTTACAATAAAAAAATGTTTAAAGTTGAACGATTAGTTGCATCTGTTTATTTGTTTTCCAAACGAGTTCATATGTTCCTATACAATTACAGTTTAATTAAATTTTGTTCAGCAAGATACATGTCCTTCTACTAGCACTAGTTCAACCTCCCCACCAAAGGAATTAATTGGATTGTGATGAGAAGATCTGGATCCTCATAGGCATATTATTGCTGATCTTAACAATGAAAAGCTAAGTCGGCACCTAAGCCAGTTTATTGTCTTGCTATATGGCTTGCCGTGTTTTTCAGCGATCAAGGATGCAATTCTCGTGTAGACAACGTTTGCAGTGGCACCCATACCACCCGCTGTCGAGAAGACCAGCGGAGAAAATGATCCGTGTTCTACTTCTCTGATTCTTTCATCGTATGCTTTTCTTTTCTCCAGTTCATTCTCTGAACATATTCTTTTCGTCGTATGCTCTTCTTTTCTCCAGTTCATTTTCTCCAGTTCATTCTCTGATTCTCTCGTCGTATGCTCTTCTTTTCTCCAGTTCATTCTACTTCTCTGATTCTTTCGTCGTATGCTCTTCTTTTCTCCAGTTCATTCTTACGTACATTCGTTATTTAATCGAGCCCGCAGTAATTGGTAATTACGCTGTTGCAGATTACCTGCAACTTTGTAATAATAACAGACGGGACTTTCGTCTACGCATGCGCGAGGAACGTAAGCGTGAGTCCACGTGAGCGCGGGTTGATCGCGTGACTAAATTCTAAAAACAAACACCAAATTTGCCAAAACTACTCGTTTTATGAAGTGGTTCCTTGTTTTTTTAGTGTTTCTGCACTCACAATTTTAGGCATTTCCAACTTCGAAGTCTTTGCTTTGGAATTAGAACGTGAAAGTACACATAAAAACTTTTGTTGCAGCATTTTAATTTTGCCGTACAAATATACCTGTTTTATATGTATATCTTTTTCGAAGTGAGATATACAAGTGCAAATTGACCTTCTTTAAATTCGTACTTGCCCTATTTTTAAATTAACTCCATAAAAACTACTTTTATCCATGGATAAACGATTTGACTTTAAAAATAAGCTTGAATTATGCTGGTAATATAGGCTAATTTCTTTGCAAACAGTCATCCAGTACTCGGTAGTGTACTTGTTGCATATGAACAAAAGTCTAAAATTAATTCAACATCTCTTTAGAAGATAAACAATTAATTTATTTCACAAGGAACCCGTTCTACAATGTAAACTAGAAATCTGCCAACAAATTGTCACGAAATACTACAATGAAAATAGGGTCTCTGAACTACCGATTTCACCGAATGGTCAAGTTTCTCTGCAAAGATCGCCCATTTGCCCAATTTTCATCGAGTAGATCATCATGTTATCAAGTCAAGGATTATGCATACTTTAAAATAAAAGAATAAAAAAACTGGTGATAAGGGGTAGATTTTGAATAAAATACGAATATATGTATACAAGATCTGAGAGTTATTATGAAGCACTCGATACTATTTCAACAACATTTTGCGCTTAATTTTTTACAAAATTAAAAATATTTACATATTAAAGATATGAAAATGTAGCTTGCATTACAAAGAAATGTTGGCTTATCTAACTTATACCTTACACGTCGATTAAAGTCAAGTAAAGCCCTTTCAAAGACGCGTGCCACATTAAATTACAGGTCACATGGCGGTAGAGAACTCGACAGTCCCCCCCCCCCATCTAACACCAGAAGTAATTCAAGCGAATGTATGTATGACGTCAACAGGGGGGAAGGGGGTGTACGTCCATGCGTTCGTACTTAGTGTACGTCCAAGAGTTCGCACTTATAGTGTACGTCCAAGCGTTCGTACTTAGCTGGACAAAGCGTGCGAGCGTAGCTACGTGTGATGTGTTACAATGGGTGTATATATCATGTTATTGCTGAGGTCCTTACATGACACTTACGCTAGCTTCGAATAATAATGAGGTACATTCCCAAGAAAATAGAGAAATGCAGTTTGTTTTATTCAAGCTCACATAGTATTACAACAATTTAAATGTTTCTTCCAAGCGACTCTTGATTTCTTGAGACGGACTGCAAGCTTTTGGCGATAAATAAATTTGTTTTAAATTTCCTGTCTGTTTATGCCCCCGCGCAGTGTGGCGTCGCACGGAAAGGTCGCACGCAAAGATTAAGTGTTGAATGATAAGGTCGTACGCGAGACGAACATGATGTGCGCGTGATTATGCTTCAGCTTACTTTACACTACGTTTACGGGGACCGCTGTGCATGAGGTTTACCAACATTAATTAAACATGGTTTCTTTAACAAAGGCTCGCATGGTCTGCTTGATCCTGTTTGGCCTTCTCTGCCCGTGTGGCCCGTTTGGCCATTTCTGCTCGGATTGCCTTTGATATAAGCAAAAAATCAAGAGAAAACAATTCGAAAATTGAAAATATAGAAATAAAACAATTTATTCGTTTACATCGCTTTCATCGTCTGAATAATGTTGTCGTTTTTCTAGAAGGCTTTTGAAAAGAAACTTTCTCTTTTCTACTGCGGAATATAAAGCTTCTTCGCGGTCGAGGCAGTGCCGTAGCCATAACGATAATTGGGGGGGGGGGCATATTCATATATTTGTGTTCTGCTTTATTAATTTCTTTTGAAACAATTGTTTTTATGGTATGTGAACACGGATATATGAATATGTGCCCCCCCCCCCAAGTATCATTCTGGCTACGGCACAGGGTCGAGGAAATCTACGTCAATCAAATTATCTCTTGTCTGCATGATCTTCTTGTGAATTGGATCTTTTTTCATGTGTGACATCCACAGCAGCCGTTCTACATAAATATCTTCTAATTCTTTTGTGAGTTTCGGAAGAAGTTCTGAAAACGATTGCCTCTTAGCTTCAACGGCCTCACTAAAACCCTCATTATTAAGGCTTTCAAAGTTTTCTTGAAATTTATCCAAAAGTTGAAGTTTTTCTTCGTGTCTCAACGTTTGCCAGGGGTCGTAGTCTTCTCCATCTTCGCTGGATTCGTGTTTTCCGTCTTCGCTTTCTTCTTTGCTGTCATCTTCCTCGCTGTTCTCATTTTCTTCGCTGTTGCTCTCTTCTTCACTGCTATGTTCTTTTTCATTTTCGTCATCACATTGAGAGGTGTCCCTATATGCGGGACGCAGGGACGTTGCTACGGGATGCACGGGACTTGCTTGCGGGACACTTTGAGAGGTGCCCTTATATGCGGGACGCACGGGACTTTCTTACGGGACGCATTTTAACGTGTCCTTGCGTACCCATACACGAATTCAAAGGGTTACATAATTCATTATTATTCGAGGACGGAAATGTATTTAAAGTGATCGAAGCTGTCAAATGGTTTACCTCATTTAAAACGAAATCAAACGCCTTTCATCAGTCTATTTCGTGACTGTGCTCGTGTACGGTTGGTCTAAAAGAAAACGTAAAGAATATTATGGCACACTTGTTCAGTATGTGGATGAAATTGACTATGAGTTGTTCACTCCTGAAAAACTTACTGATTTCGTGTTTACGGAGATCGTATACCGTCAAATTCAGAAACTGGAAGAGGAGACACGCATAAATCAAGATGAAATTGACGGCATTCAATGGTCCAGGTTTGGACAGCGGGTGAATTTTTAGATGAAGAAGAGCGCTGGATGAATTAGGCTGAAAAGGCCGGACAATGCTGAATCATGAAGTGATGTGGCAAGCAATCGTTGAAGCATTCAAGATATTGAAGTATCCTGAACCATCAGAAACACAAAGAGATAATTTTGAAACACGTTTTGACATGTCATGCTTTGTTTGGCATCAAATGTATTCTGAGTTCGAAAGAACTGTTCCTCTAAACAATCTCATGGACTACATTAGCTGTGTTTGTAAAGTAAAATACAATTCAACCATATAATGTATTTAAGAAATATATAATTTTAAAACGTATTGTGTTGTTGTCTTTTTCTTTATTCCATGCTGTTGCTTCCAGTATCATAATCTATTTTGACCATGGGCACCATAGGCGTACGGGCGCAATTTTATTTGGGGGGGGAACAAAATTTGCCCGAATTTTTAAGCTGATGACAAAAAGTGCCCGAATTTTGATAATAAGACTTTTGATTTGATTTTACGAATGAGCTATCTAAATTTTAACAAGTGCATTCAACATTTAAATTGGAAGCCTGGCTAAGAGGTTTCACTGAGAAGAAATAGCTATCTCGTCCACTTCGTCTACCAAAAGTATCAATTATATTAACCATGCATGTCGTTCTTAATAGTTCGGTTAGCACATGCTCGTTCAATGTTAATGACAGCAATAGAATTCAAGCGTTCTTCGCCCATTGTCGAGCGGCGGTAGGTTTTCACCCGCTGCAATCCACTGAATGACTTTTCAGCGGTACATGATGTAGCAGGAATCGATGCAAGAATGGTTGCTGCCTTGTATAATACAGGTAATAAGTCGCATAGTCACCATCCTGAAACATTTTGTCGACGACGTCTGCAGCAGTTGTAGCCCGAGGATTGGACTCGTCAATGATGGAATTTTGATGCAAACTCTTCTCGACTTCAAGAAGATCCCATCGACATTGTAAAACTCTTAGTCTGGGACCTGTATAGATGTTTGTATTGATGGATGTAGATATTTCTCAACTGTTTTAGGGTAAAATGACCATGGCGGTCAACATGGCATATGTGCCAAAACCTGAATCCGGGGCTAAAGTCCTGAAAATGACCGCGCCCTGAAACGGCAGTGCGGACATAGCTCTAACTTCCGAAAAGCAAAAGCGACAGGCTTTCTGAAGTGCTTATAGTGTTTAGAAGGGTTGCTTTTAGGGGTGGTCATTGGAAGCAAAAATTTGTCTAAGTATAATATTTTTCCAGAAAATGACTATGCACCACCACAGGTAAATTGCTGATTATGCACAAAAATAACTAATATGCCTGGCAGAAATTTAATGTTTTTATTTCCTAAAGAAAATTATCATGGGATGAAAAACTATACTTAATTTAATATAATTATTGTAGTTTTCATAAGGATTGTCATGTTTTCTTTAAATATAATACATTTTAATTCACTCACCCCCCACGAAAACACCATTTCTGCCATACTTTGCCGTCTTGTTTGCTTTTTATGGCCAAGTCTCGCTGATATCATCCAGTTGTTGTACTTTTACATAATGATAGATGGCTAAAGACGACTTCGACGTAGTTTAATGAAGTTTTGAAACAGTGCAGTATATTTTATCTTCGATATTGTGTCCTTCGATATTTCGTCAAATTGCCGCCATTTTAATGTATCGCCGCTTCTCTGCCCGATAAATGCCACTTCTTCGTCTTCCTATGTGTTTAGACTACAGTGTCCAAGAGTACTTCGTTGTAGGATAGTCCCAATCGAAAAAATGAAAACATTTGTTGGGTTTTGCCATCAAAACCCCCCAGGTAATCATTTAGGTTCAAAATAAAATACAAAGCATTTGAAAGTCATGCACAATCTTCGCGAAAACTTCTCGTGGGCACATGACAGGGGGGGGCGGGGTGA